CTTCACTTATATTTGTCATTCCTGAGCTATGTAAGAGCAACTCCTACAACTGATTCCAAATAGCAGTTCCCTCGTGTGGCCACTTGGTGGCAGTGTTGCTGCATCTTTCATTCACTAAAGCAGAATTCGGAACTTTTTTTTTTTTATTGGCAGTTTTTTTTGGCCGACCTGCAAATAGAACCTCCGGACTGATCTACAAATACCGCTTGTCTGACCTTCACCCCAACGTCTGTGTGATCAGTTTGCATTTTGTGGCATGCCAGTACATAGGGGTTTAGCTGCCAGGGTAGATGATGTATAGGAGAGTACTGTACGGGTAGGGCAAACTCTGGCTCTTCCAGCTGTGGTGAAACTAGACATCCCATCATTCATCTGCCTCTGGGAGTCATGTCTGCGGCTGTCAGTCTTGCAATGCCTTGTGGGATTTGTAGTTTCACCACCGGGGGGCGGGGGGGCAGAGTTTGCCTAACCCTGCTATTGAATGTCGGGGTTGCAAGAAACTCATCAAGGGATCGAGCAACTTGAAATTGAAGCATGTGAATCTCCATACTCTACATGTGGGTTCATCGGGTTCACTTTCTGGCAGGTTCCTCATGGTGTCCTACATTCACTGGATCCCCATAATACCCCACAGCGTGCGGCAATAGTGCTTGTGACATAATACTCCCAGAATGGACAATAATAATTCAGTTCTTATGACGGGCACAAGTAATAAAAAGTCTGTAATGACAGTTCTCACCAAGCTCCAGAGTCCTGCGTCACTTCTGGAGACGTACAGATTGGGCAATATCTATTAATAGTGTGTGTGAAGGTGAAACACCTCCCAAGTGCACAGACAGTTCAGATACACAGTCCATGGAACCTCATTGCAGGGAATGAATGTTATCCAGTCTTTATTGCGCAATCCTAAACATATATATATATGAGAGAGAGATCTCTAGGATTGCGCAATAAATATATATGGAATAGCCGTGGCAGGTCAACATAGAGTTCATTCACACAATGATCCCGATGTTATAAAATGATTATAAAGTGATTGCTTCATCAAAGTGATAGTATTGTGCCCGCCATGGGCGGATCATGATCCTGGCAATGCCAATTTATATGTTTTGGGTTCACTTTGGTGAAGCAATCCGATGAGTAATATACTGCGAGTGTGATTTATGGTTGCCCTAGTATACAGCTGAGAGCGTGCACAGGTCACTGTCTGGAGAATCTGCCTGCAAAGGTTCAACTTTACAATCATTTGATGACTTGGGATCATACATTATATCACCAAAAGTATTGGGACGCCTTTACACGCACATGAACTCTAATGGCATCCCAGTCTTAGTCCGTAGGGTTCAGTATTGAGTTGGCTCCGCCCTTTAATATGAAAGAGGCCCAAGACCCCCAAGAGAAGGAGGTTTCGGAGTATTAACCATTATACACACGGCCCGGCCAAAAGACAAGTCACACACTCTAATATTTTGTTGGATCTCCTTTAGCTTTGATTACGGCACGCATGCGCCGTGGCATGGTTCCGATAAGATTATACAATGTCGCAACATTTATTTCCATCCAGAGCTGCGTTAATGATCCAAGATCTTGTAGTGATGATGGGAGAGGCGGACCTCTGTGTAAAGTCTTCTCCAGCACATACCAAAGATCCTCAATGGGGTTAAATGAGAACTATGGGGTCGGGGCTTTTCCCCATAGTTCTCAGGGTAACGGGAGGACACAAACTAGCGTCACCCTAGGCTCAGTATATAGGGAGCTACAGCTCGCGGTATACCGAGACGCCGCAGCCGGAGCGGATCCCGACAATTGTGCCAGGATCCGCCCAGCTGCGTGAGTGACAGCTGGCACTGCCTATCTAGAGGCAGAGCCAGCTGTACCCGCCCCCTCCCCCGTCCGTTCCGCCAGTCAGCGCTGGCGAATCGGAGCGGGGAGGGGGGAATCCAGCCCCTCCCCCTGTCACGGCAGAGCGCCGTGACAGGATCGAGAGGTGAGCGAACGCCGGTATGTGTTCTCTCACTTCCCGATCTACTGAGCCGACCTGTGACAGTCTCATTATCACAGGTCGGCTAGAACTATGAGGAGGAGTGAAAAGCACCTCCCCTCCCCCCCTCATAGTTCTCCTTTTAAGGTCTGGACTTTGTGGTGGCCAATCCATGTGTGACGATGATGTCTCATGCTCCCTGAGCCACTCTTTCACAATCTGAGCCCGATGGATGCCGGCATTGTCATCCTGGAATATGCCCAATGTGCCATCAGGGAAGAAAAAATCCATTGATGGAAAAACCTGGTCATTCCGTATATTCAGGGAGACAGCTGACCTCATATTTCTGGGGACATAACATTGCTGAACCTAGACCTGACCCACTGAAGCCACCCCAGATCATAACACTTCTCCAATGGAAGCCTCTGACGTATTTGCTGAGCTACATCCAGGTGGTGACTTTTTCTTTTTTGTATAAATGATGTGTAAAAATCTTCAATCATTTCCTCTCCAGGGACGCTCGGAGGAAAGATAATATTTTGCCCATACAGTGTTTCCCTTCTTCCAGATTCTCCTGCCAATGACAGCAAAAAATCCTTCAGCCTGGAAGAAAAGTCCAAGTCATCTAAGAAGCGAGTTCATTACATGAAGTTTGCTAAAGGTAAGTCCTGACATTCCAAACCTTCACCCACATCGAGGAAGACCCGAGAGCTTTGTGTTCTATGGAACCGAGAGGCTGATTGTGGGGAATGGCCAATGTGCATGTGACAAAGACATGGGGAGGGGCTGGTACATTGTCCGGGTCGGCGCTGGTGCAATGTCCGGGTCCGCGCTGGTGCAGTGTCCGGGTCCGCGCACCTGAGCCACTCTTTCACAATCTGAGCCCGATGGATGCCGGCATTGTCATCCTGGAATATGCCCAATGTGCCATCAGGGAAGAAAAAATCCATTGATGGAAAAACCTGGTCATTCCGTATATTCAGGGAGACAGCTGACCTCATATTTCTGGGGACATAACATTGCTGAACCTAGACCTGACCCACTGAAGCCACCCCAGATCATAACACTTCTCCAATGGAAGCCTCTGACGTATTTGCTGAGCTACATCCAGGTGGTGACTTTTTCTTTTTTGTATAAATGATGTGTAAAAATCTTCAATCATTTCCTCTCCAGGGACGCTCGGAGGAAAGATAATATTTTGCCCATACAGTGTTTCCCTTCTTCCAGATTCTCCTGCCAATGACAGCAAAAAATCCTTCAGCCTGGAAGAAAAGTCCAAGTCATCTAAGAAGCGAGTTCATTACATGAAGTTTGCTAAAGGTAAGTCCTGACATTCCAAACCTTCACCCACATCGAGGAAGACCCGAGAGCTTTGTGTTCTATGGAACCGAGAGGCTGATTGTGGGGAATGGCCAATGTGCATGTGACAAAGACATGGGGAGGGGCTGGTACATTGTCCGGGTCGGCGCTGGTGCAATGTCCGGGTCGGCGCTGGTGCAGTGTCCGGGTCCGCGCTGGTGCAGTGTCCGGGTCCGCGCTGGTGCAGTGTCCGGGTCCGCGCTGGTGCAGTGTCCGGGTCCATGTCTTGATAAGGCAAGTGCTCCCAACACTTGGGTTTCCATCACCTCCTTGGTGCACACCACTCATATGGCAATTCTTATCCAAGTACAGATGCGGGAGGAGAGCGATGTGAGCAGCCAGCGTCTCTCTTCCCCACACCGCTCAGCCTCCTGTCAGTCCGGCAGAGCGGTGTGTGGGCGGAGACAGGCCGTGCTATCACAGGAGGCTGAGCTCTCCTCCCTGCACCGCCCCGCCTCCTGTGACAGTGAGTCAGGATGGAGAGCGGGTACAAGGAGTGATCAGTGATCGCTGAGTGTTTGTAGATAATTGAGGACAGAGTATGGTTACAATATCCTCAATTATGAATGAATGGGAAGTGATCTACATCACATCTACATCACTTCCTGTTCATTTATGACTGGTTATAGTAAACACACTGTTCATGTTATCAATGATCAGGAACACTCAGTATAGAGCTGGGGTAGACAACCTTGGCTCTCCAGCTGTGCTGAAACTACAAATCCCATAAGGCATTGCAAGCCACAGGCTCCCAGAGGCAGAAGCATGATAGGATTTGTACAGCTGGAGAGCCAAGGTTGTCTACTCCTGGTATAGAGGATTCCTGTTCATTGATAACGGGGGCTGCAGAAAAAGAGATTGAGGGCTCTGTGCGTCTCTGAGGTCTTTGTGTCCTCAATTTCTATTTTAAAAAGGAAATATCAGGGGGTCTCCCCAAAGCCCCTAAAAGTAAAAAATACAAATAAATATATATAATAAAATAAAAAAATTTAATTTATTAAAAAAAATAAAATGTTATTTAAAACATTTGAAAAAATTAAAATAAACATTTTCGGTTTCGGCCTGACATATATATATT